GTCCGCTCACGTTCAAGATGAAGAAAATGACAGCGGAAGAGTTCCAAAATATCGTGGATGATATTGAGGGATCTGTACAGTAGGAGTATTCGTTCGCTCATCTGGGATAGTCTTGTGCTGATGCAACATAGATACAACACGCTGTATATGAGGGGTAATATCAACATTCATTGGAAGCCCGATGAGGCTTCAAGCTTCGAGTTCAGTGGCAGTTATGGTGTTTGAAGGGTCAAAGGAACCCTATTTCTCGTTTATCTCAGCCCTGGCCCGTGATTTCCATCTCTGATTATGCCATATATATCTGCTACTTTCGTAACATACGTACGCCATATGCACGGTAATTAACATTTATTCCAGCGTTACTTCTCAGATGCCTGATACCTCAAAGTTCTGTGACGGCGGTTAAGTTGTACGATACGCCTCGGAAGAGTTCAAATTGGAAAAATGCGGCTGGCTCTAGAGTTGTGCATTAGCCCCAAAGTACTGGAGTACATATCAAGAGCGACAACCCTTGGCATTATTGTTCAACAAGCTGCGTTCCAGGTCTCGCCCACAGTTCGAGGTCCATGTATCCACGTGGAGTTGTTTGCCAACTGCTTCCATCGCAAGTCAGGCACAGCATCGCTGGTCAGTACTCCTGCTTCCCGTCGGTATGAATGGCGTCAGGCGCTTTCTCGGTGCGGCGACCACCACAGTCCAGGAGCCGCCGGCATCGCCACCACCAATCGATACCAATGACTTACCACCATTAAAATCTGGTACGACGTGGCCCCCGCAGTCTCCGACGTCAACGAACGGAGTTACCTCACCCTTCGGAAGCCCAAAGATGACGACGGCAGGCCTCTTTCTTAGAAAGGACAAGCAGAAACTGCCTCCTCCCTTAGTGAACGATGGTACTGCACCAAAATCATCGCTTCGTTCGTCAAACGTTTCGACTAGCTCACTCATTATTTCCAACGGACAGTTATCCAGTTCTCCGGTTGGGCCCTCACCACCGCGAGCACCTCCCTCCCGAATTGTCACTCGAAAGTCTGTGAAACCGTCATCAATGGACTCGGAATACAAGCGATCATCCAGTCGGCTCAACAATCGAGACGAGCTGTTGCTCAGTTTGTTGGCCAGTGACGCCGTAGTGGACAGCCGGGAGTTTGAGATCCTCAGTTTTGAAGAAGTCGATGAACTGAAGAAGGTACGTCGCTATGCTATGCACTATGAACATTCGTGTAACAACGTGTAGGAACACCAAATCCTCATGTCTCGACTCGGCGCCACGGAGAAAAAGCTCACTCTAGAAACGAAGATCCGGGATGCTGCGGTATCTTTGTCCAAGGTCAATCAGTCGAATAAAAAGATGTCCAAGCAGACCGAGGAACAGCTTGAGTCCGCTAATCGCCGCGTTGATATTGCGCAGAAGGAATTATGGCGCGTCTCGGAGCGAGTGAACGAGATAAATAAGCGCCTGCTGGAACATCGTGCAGGAGTTCTCAGCTATTCTGTCCGTAGCATGGAGAAAAAGATGGCTCCTTCGTCTACAAATGGCTACAGCACTCCTCGAAATCACCGTGACTCTGGCTACGAGACCCCGAACAGAAGCCTCTCACTCAGTCCAACAGCGACATCCATTGCAGATTCTTCTTTTACCAAGTTTGATGGTGCTCACTTTTTCGCAGGTCATGCGGATGCTATCGTGCCCACGCGCCAACGTTCTCCGGATTCTGCTGCCCGAGAAATCTTTTCCCTAGAAGAGAAACTCAAAGCCGCGACCGATTCGCTGAAAGCCGCAGGACAAAAGCAGGCAGACATGGCGAAAGAGCTGTCCCATTTAAAATTTGAGAAGGAGCAGGTCGAAACGATGATGGACATAGAGCTTCAGAATGCTCAGGATACCATTGCCGCTTTAGAGCAGGAGATGCCCAAGATCGAATCTTTGGAAAATGAATTTCAGGATCTGTTAGAGGAGAAGAGGGACTGGGAACGCGAGCGGGAAGAACGAGACTTGCGGCTGGCTGCTCTGCAGGATGAATTGAAGGCCCTTGAGTCGTCCAATACTCAGGCTGCAGGAAACGAGTCGACATTGGCACAGGCACGAGAGGCGGCGCAGCAACAGTTGGTAGAGGACAAGGACGCCGAGTTGCGACAATTACAGGCAGAGTGGGAGGAGGATCGATCAGCTTGGGATAATGAGCGCGCACGTTTGGAGGACGAGAAGTTGGAGGATCTTGCAAGACTACAGGACGAGATGGACAGAGTACGGGAAGAAGATGTTTCTCTATTACAAAAGGCGACCGACAGTCTTGAGGAAGGGCAAGCCCTGATCCAAGCGCTCGTTCACAAACATTCTGTGCCGTTATTCTCTCGCGAGCTGTCTTTGAGGGCTCTCCTGTCTTCGGTGGATCTTTACCTTGAAAGAGTAGGCTCTAGACCAGATTTAGAAAAGGAGCTGGAGGAAACGATGAAGAAACTTGATGAAGAAGTGTCGAAGCGCGAAGCTCTTCTTCACGACCTCGAGGAGGCCCGGCGTGAACGAGAAGATGCCAAGAAAGAGGCTCGTATAGTTACTCAGAAAATGAAGGCATGTAGTTCCTGTTCATCCGAGCCATTGTGTTTGACACCTTTTTAGGAGCAACTAGAGAAGAATAGTGGTACAATTCGCTCCCCGATTACGCCAACTGCTACATTTCCCACCGAATTTACAGGCGATGCAGCCAAGATTGTCGCTGTCCTCCAACCTCTCTGGGCTATGCTCCCTTCCCCCGAAGCTCGCGCCGCCAAATTCAACATTCAAAGGCAGTTCCGGACTGGATCACCAACGGCATCAGCCCCTTCCAGTCCTAGCAGTCTAGGTCACAACAACTCTGCCAAATCTCTCTCGGATCTGGATGTGCGGTCCCTCAAAGCCCTTTATGATATACGTTCAGGCGCAAATTCGTCGCCTACTCCAGGTTCATTCACAGTGGAGGCCTTTGCTGCCCGAGTGCAAGCGCTGGTGGCGGACGATAGGTCGCTTATTGAACGCCTGCTTCGGTTTGCCCAGGCGCATGATCTGTTGAAAAAGAACGCTGACCGTGCTCAAAAGCTGGCGCAGGAGGGCAGTATTGCTTTAGAGACCTATCAAAAGCAGGTGCGGATGTTGGAGGACAGGAATATGAGCATGGCATCCAGATACGCTGGGTTGTGAGTGTTCCCGGATGCATCAAATCTATCTTGTCATGACTTATTATTATCATATAGGGAGGATGAAATGCACCGATTACAAGACAGTGTGGATATGATCACGTCACAGAAGCTGGAGATTGAAATGCAGGCGGCTGAACAGGCTGAAACATGCCGGCAACTTACTGAGGCCAACAACACGTTAAGCGCCCGAGCGTTGACCCTGGCTGAAGAAGCTGCGTCTGCTCAGGAAGCTATCAAGAAACAGCTGGAGGCACAACTTGCTGAGTCCCGTACGGCATTGAAGGCCGCACAGGAACAACTCGACGCCATGGTTTCGTCGGAGCAGAATCAAAAGGCTGCATTATTGGATGAATTGAACGCAATGCAAACGGAGAATGGTCAACTAAGAGCGCAGCTTCGGGCGGTGAAGAAATAATCTTTCTGGTCTGTTTCGGATTCAATATGGATACCCCCTCACATTGTTACTTTCATTTCGCTTTCTTGCAAACTCTAATGTTGTATCTACTGGTTGTAGGACATATGTATATGTATTCAATACACCTTAGGCTAAGGTACATAAAGTTCTGACAGGCGCTGGACCGACACTCTAGCGCTCGGTTCTGCTCCTGGTTGGGCCCCTGAAACCGCATATAGGTACAAGGATCTTAGAACCAACGCGGACAGGCGCTAGGCCGATAATCAGATGTCCACAGTGAGCCCTGTAACAACATGGCCTGGTTTGAGCTTGATAGTAGACGCATAAAAACTCGGCCGGGGTTTACGTTCAACTCCCGAGTCAGCCTTCCAGGTGTTTGCCAGTTAATGGTAGCGGGTCTTCTTTTAGTAAACATATTCCCACTGATAAGATGATGCTGGGCAGAGATTTAAAGGTAGACTTTCCTCCTGTAGGATGATCAGGCTTGACTTTCCATCTTCTGATTGAACAACGCCGTAAACATCAGATTCGTTGGTAAGATGAGGTCAAAACCTTCAGAAGAATACTCCCGTAGTGTGTTCAATTAGAAAAATATGGAATTTGGATAAATTCGCCATTCACAAGTTCCAACCTCCGTCATAGAATACTGGGTCGTGTCGTATTCTGTTTGTAGTATGTCCACTACTTAGTGACGTTGGCCCTATGCTTGTACATATCTTTCGGGCTACAAACCATCGTCGAAGGACAGGCAACAATAGCCTTCCGTTGATTGGACTTTTTGCTGTTAAGTGAAGTGTGAGAATTCGTGATGCGTTCTGTCTCTTCTCCAAATATAATGTACAAAGTATACCAGAGAGTGTGTGGGTTAAGAAGCTGGCGAGGTTTCATCAGCCAGCTTATAGCTACTTAAATACAGCCATTGTACCTATAGTAATAACTAACCTGTACGTAGTCCAGGAAATACATAGCTAAGTAACTGCTGTACATGTGGCGACACTTATAGTAGCTACGGAGCTACGGATCAATTCCAATTCCAACATGAAGCTAGCGCTAGGCGGCGGTCACTCAGCGCAGCCTAAGTAGTACCGGCAAACAAAAAGATTGGATCGATCGCTGATCAACGCGACCCCATTGTATCTCGGTTCGATAAAACGTCGCTGCTGCTTAGGGTAGTGCACGAAACCTAGGCTTTCATACACAGAGGCTAAGCAAGCTACTGGTAAGGTACCCTCCCTCGCTGAGGGACATTTTGGTCGAGGGAACTTACCTATCACGTGACTGCCAGTTAAGAAGAATAATTTACCAAAGTTCCATGTATATTCTATTTACAAGGTACAATCATAGATATCCAATATTTCCAGGTGGATTACAACCGTAAGATTCTGACAAGGTTGCACTGGAAGCAAAAGGGCTCAACCGGGAGTTGAACCCGGGACCTCGCACATATGAATGATTTTGTAATCACTGGGAAGAACCCCGAAGCGCGAATCATACTACTAGACCATTGAGCCATTGCCAGTTTCAAGTATCGTCTTTTGATAGAAACATAATTAAGTGAGCACCTATTATAGACCGGTCCGGGCTCTTGAGACAACGTTTTATTCAACATACATCCAACTTAATGTTTTTTCATCTTCCCTCCCCTCACTAGTGTAAGCTGTTGTTGCATTTGTGACTTGGATCCCTTCAATTTTCTCCTCTCAAGATAAATCGCGACCTGTCCCAGTCGAGCAAGGGAACTTTCTCTCGTTCACCGATAGCTTTCCTATTCATACCGCGTTAACCATAGGTCTTGGTGATGAAGACCTTTCAGCACCATCAAATTCCCCAGAGACTTCTTTTCGCATCTTACACGCTACTGGTGGCCAGCGGAACATCAAGGGAACCCATCCTTATAGAGGGCGAGAACTGGGTGGAGCACTGTTTCGGTAGAAGGCAGGGGTGCTTGGAGAAGAAATAGTGTGCTAGGATATGGAGGATGCAATGTGATAAATATGACGGCCTCGACAGCACACCACCCCATTTGATGATGTCCACTTCGGTCTATATGATCTGGACCCAAAGATCGATAATAATGTTTGTGGGTGGCTGCTTCCCTCCCCATTTCGGGCGACGGAAGGACCGATGACAATGCTCAGAGGCCATCGTTACATCCAATTTCAATCCCCCACCATTCAAAACTTTATGTCGACGGCTGTCGGCGATATGGAGAGTGATGGCTTTTGCCCAGACAACATGCCTAGTGCATGCTCCTCCCCCTCCTTCACAGGTGAGTTGTCGTAATGTTTGCGACTCAATGATTGTTAATACTCTCATCTCCAGATGATGCAAGAGTATTCACCTATGTTCAATGATAGCTGCAACCCGTCGAACTAGAGATAATCGCCTGGGGCGTCATGCCAAGTTTCAGACCTTTTAGCGCCATAGCTTCCCCTAGGAACTTGCTTCCAGCAACTTGAGGGCTACCTCTTACCTGCAGAATATTCGGCTAAGACACCCAAAGTAAGAAATGTGTGACGGTCGGATGATAGAGGCTTTAGACGCCGATGCAGTATCTTGATAGATGGCACTAGCAGTAGACAGGATAACTAGGTGGCGACCACGAAAATAGACGCAGCTTGATAGTACAATCAGACGTAGGAAGGTGGGTCCCCCAACTATCTCATTGGTGTCACCCATGCTGTCGGGCCTGCAGTGTTATATTATTCCTTTTCAGCTCGTTCCCCTACGTTATTGCTTTTACTACCACCAACAACTCAACGTGTTGTAATATGCCATCCGGTCAATAACGAGGCGGTGACCTTGTGGTAACACCACACCCCACGCGCTTGAAGACTATTGCAACGACCTGAAACACTTGAAATCGGCCGTCACAATATATAGCCCCTTACAAGGGTTTAGAACTTCATTATTGGCTTCATATATGGGAAGAAGGGAAAACTTTAATGGCGGGGGAGTGGAACACCTATTAGTGAACGAGGTCACTGGTCTACTTATGCAATGTACAAAATGGATCAATGCGTCACGCGCCTTAAGATCGTGGTTCTGGTGGAATACCTACACGACTTGGTGCCTGGACTGGTAGGACGAACCACGACGATTGCCGGGCTAACGCGAACCCCCTTCCCTTCTAGTTGTGTAGCCCAGGTCAAACTATCAAAATTTGTTCTACAATGGACGTCATCACAGCAAACATCTGGCTTGGTTTGGTTCATTTATGAACAAGTACCACAAATAAGCAAGTTTCAATTTATCAGCTAGGGATTTGTACCAGTGTGAGCGGCTGAAGGGGTTGTCGCTTGTTATAAATAGCTTTTCGGTCTTCTGCCTCATCATTCCTATCATGGAGGTCGGAATAGTCACCGTTCGCCCAAGTTTCTGGTCAATACCATCAAAAGACCGAGTTTATATGCCCCGGCACACCGCAGTTGTATTATACTACGTAAGAGGTCGACAATAATGTTTACTTATAATTCCCATATGCTACCTTGCTGCTACTGCTACACTGGGGGCACAAAGCGTTGATGTTGGGGGCTGAAACGTTAACGTCAATGAATCCTAGTCGTCGGGCCACGAACAAAATCCTACAATATTGTTGCGGATATTGATGGCTAGTAACGAGTCAGTCTTTGTCCAATCTACAAACACAAAAGAAGAACCGACTATTGCCAGCAAGTCTGGTTACACGTAGGAGGCTTGCAAGTCTTTGGATGCGCCATGCTGAATTTACATTGGACCAGGTCACATTTAATCTAGTCGATATTTTAGTGTACATTCTTCATATCACGGTGATTATCTTACCTCTTCGTCAGGCTCGATGATCGTACAAGGGTGAGCCTTATATAAGCCACATCAGGAAGCTAGAAAGCCCATACCAGCGTTACGCCGTGGCCACAACTACAAACCAGTTAGTGCCCCAGAGTAGCGAAGACGGAATAGTGCTGACCGCGTGTAGATGTTTCTGACCCTAAGATAAGCAAAAAGGTGTAAGCATTCTCCCGCTAACCAAGGCCGACGAAACTCACTGTCGATAAAGACACATGTTTGGAGAGGCGAAGGAAGATACCACTCCAACTCCAAGGCGCCCTCTGCTTTATAGGATGCAGGATCCTGTCAACCCATCACCTTGCGATCATTTGAAGAAGAGACGTCACTTGCCCAGGAAGTGTATCCTAAGTTTCGGCCAAGATCAAGAATTGTGGCCCTGGGATCACATTTCGCAATGCCAGGAGGCCATCAAATTCGGTTCGATTCACGTAAACCCGCCATGTTGTCTATCACTAGTTCCTAGAGATATCAAAGAATTGAACCGAGGCTAGTGCCATTCCATACCAAGTAATTCACTACAAGCACACTGTCACTGATAAACACATATATGAGCCGGAGTCCCATCGCAGTAAAATACAGAAGAGATCGATCCATTTCAGATGGAAGTGCGACAATCTGGCCAGATGGACAGGAGAAGGAAGTTCAGAACTGACCGAAGTATCGGACGTGAGTGTTAAAGAAAGCACCGGTTACCCAATGGCGAGATGCGATCACCTCGTTTAATGCACTTGGTATACATCTGCCTTCTCCATCCAATCAATTACAAGTATCTGTAAAAATTCTTGAAGGGTCACGCCCATGCGACCACTCTAGCGAACCGAGGAAGCCCGAAGACAGGTCTTTCAGATGTGCAGAGTGGAGACCTTATCGCCGTTTGTGGGTTATTCGTGGAAGAAGACTGGCCGTTCCGAAAGTCTGAAAAACGGTCAACGCAAATGTACGATTCATCGATCGTTCCTTATCAGATTCAACCTAACATTGTACCGCAGACGCCTTAACCTTACGAGTGTTACATCCCCCCAGGTTTAGGTTTTTTAGGCCGGAGGGTTGCTTTGACTTTGGCCAAGTCTACTTCACACGGGCACTTCAGTCCAGGTCCTGCTGTCTCAAGAAGCATGAGTTACACAACGGTCGGAAGCCTCTGGCATCTTGATCAAAGTCCATACAGATAACTTGGATGGCCTACTGGGTGGTCCGATGTCGTAGGGTTGACAACGTGAGGATACGACTGAAGGACCGTTAGTAGTATCACACAAGCATGTGGATAGCGAACTTACTCGGTTCCAATCTACGGCTCGTACATACTTATGCAGCCAGAATCGCCATCTGGAAAAATACAGCCCGAGCTTGGTATTGAGCGGTTGATTGGTGGAACCAAACGGCGTTTGTTGTGTGAACTTCCATGCTTTTGTTCAGATCCTGAGAGATGTATACTGAACTGAACCCTTACCTCGGCAATACGAGGAACGCCTTCTGCACCTTCCAGAGGGTGCTGAGTTCACATCCTATATCTATAAAAGTTCCACCAATCGTCAAGCCTCATAGCCAACGAAGAGCAGCAAGATATTTTTGGCACGGATCTCCTTTAATGCCAAGTACCACGCATATTCTGATGCAATGTGTTAGAGAACTTTCTCATATGCACTATGACGAGTTTGTGGTCGTTGGGCAGTGGATCATACGGATTCCAGCGGTAGCACCCGCCAAACCTCGTTTCTTTGCTTCCTTTACCGATCTCGGTGCTCAGAATCCTCCTTGAGGACAGCCTTTTTCCAAATTGGAAGAGTTGAATATCGCGAGTCATGCAATGCGCCAGGTATCAATACATCGTGTTCCTAGAAATAGATGTTCATCAAAGATGACGATGTACGGTCAAAGATGACACCTATATCAATCCATACGGATTAGATCTTTCCGCCAGCTTCGGAAACGCGTTGGTATTAGAGAGTACAACCATTCGCTTTTCATGGCTGATGTACCCTCTCATGAAACCCTTGTAGATCATATTTGCAGCTAGACATTCTGCCTCTTCTTCATCAACATCGATACCTGAGATCTTGAGCGAGGAGTGGAACATAGATATAGGAACTCGCGATCCTTTTTGAGAAGCAACCCATCTACAAAAACTTGAGTCGAAAAAAGCTTTTGGAGGGCGATGAGCTAGCTTACACTCGTCTGAATAAGCCCCGCAAACATAGTTCTCTAGCCTTTTCGAGTGTTATCCACAAGTTCAGATCTAAAAGTGTCTTTTCGTGGTGGTCTAGCGCCCTATCGTAACTGGATATATCACCGGTGCGGATAGCAGTTATAAATGGATGATAGAGTTCCTTGAGTGTGGGAAATCGATCCATTAGTTCTTGTGACGGAAGATAGCCCTTCAAGATGCGCAGCGGGAGGAGATAGGTTAGAATGCGCCTGTAAACAGTCAAGTTGAGAAATGAGACAAGAAAAGGGGGATCGCACTCTTGGTTACTTTGGGCCCCAATGTGGCATTGGTAGAAAGCAAGAGTCAGTTCTTCCTCAGACTGCAGAATAACATCTGAGATGCTACCGAGTATATCACTACGAACGCGTACCTTTGCATAGTCTTCGTTCAAAAAACTCAGCATTCCAATGTAATACCGATAGGTGACCTTGCAAGACATTAACTATGACGGTAGATCGAGGAAAAGAATCGTACTTG